GCATTTGTTTGTTTGTGGCCAACAGTGCCACTGCGAGCACTAACGTTAAGTCTGACTGACGCACTGCTCTTTAAACTTATATGTTAGCTATAAAATATTTGCACGAAAAGATGGAGATATGTTTTGTCGGTTTGAAAACAGAATCACTGCAACACTGAAGTCGTTGGTAACGTTAGCTCGTCACAAATATGAAGTATCAATCCGCTGGGTCGTGGAGCCCTCCCCCCCCCCCCCAAAAAAAAAGACAAGAAAAGAAAATACATATTCATAAAACAGTTAATTTTATAAATTAATTTTAGGCCATAAATTACTTTTTTTTTTCACCTCCTTACATCAACATACATTAAACGTTTCCCCTTGTTTTTCACTAAATACTGTTATTTAAGTTGCTTTTCAGTTGTCATGGTTACAATTCTGCGTCCAAAATGGCGTCCTTGCTCGGGAAGCATCTCTTTGAAATCAGCGCTCAGGGCCCACCTCCTCCAAAAGATTATTTCCAACTTGTTATTACCCAAACTGAGGTCGAGTACTTGTATGAGTTATATTTATCAAGCAGTGTCTCAAATAATGGCTTGGTCAAAAGCTAAGTGTTGCTAAAGGAACACTGTGGACATTTAACTTAACTGAGGCTAGTTTAACTCTGACTTACAAAAGTGACCGTTAGTTAGCTAACGTTAGCCAACGTAGCGTGTCCGTTAGAGAATGACGTTAACCTTTCTTTGCCGATGTTAGATAACTGTTAATTAATAATAATAACAGTTACAGAAGTTGAATTGAGTGATAAAGTAACCAGTACATTTATGGCAGAAATGATTCAGTCATTTTTGTTTTGCCCCAGGTCATTTGTTACTACATATGTTACATACACGCCCTGAATAGGACTTTGGATTCACATGATGAACTGTACGGCTCTCTAAGTCATATCTTCTCTCTGCCTTCACTTTTTAATCTTACGTTATCGTTTTTCTAACTTCAGGTAATATGGAGATCATGGAAGATTTCTGTGCGACTTGAAGCCCGGGGCGCTGCGCCAAAAGAGCTGAAGACATCCCATGAAGATTTCCTACATAACAAATCACTGAAGTGTAAGGGTTCATCGCGTAGATAGATACTGTATTATGCTGTACTGAAAATCGTGTTCAAGTTACAGTACTTTGTTTGGGTTTAGCATTTTTCTTTAACACAAATCTATCATTTGACAGAGAACACTTTTCAGGTTTTCAATAATTTGACGTCCAGGCTGTGCTTTACCCCTCATCTGTAGACGAAATTGATGCTGTTTTCGGGCAGAGAATCCTGGATTACACAGTATTACTTTGTGAAGGAAAGTTTGATTACCTGGAGCGCTTACCGGATGACATATTGCTCAGGATCATGTCCTACCTACAGCTGAAAGAAGCAACACTGATGGCACAGGTTTCAGATAGATTCAGAAAGGTGAGGCGATCAGGTCACTCTCTAGAATGGACATATGTATCTGTACACTGATAACCACACCTGTAAATCTGTATGTTTGGTTGTCTTGTGCTCTGATTGGACTCTACCAGCTCTGCAATTCTGAGAAGTTTTGGGAGGACACTGTGAGGAATCGCTGTGCTGAGTTTAACAGTGACATGGAGGGCATAGCAAACGCCATGGGCTGGAGGAAGCTCTTTTTCACCTTTTTCCACAGCAGTGGCAGAAAGGAGCAGCAGTGAAGCACCTGAACAGTTTTCTTACCGTTCTGAAACAACTGAAAAACAAATGACCGTGGATGAACATCAGGATTCATTTTACTTTGTGAAACGAGAGCCAGTTTTCAGTGAGGTTTAGTGTTCTTGAGTTTTAACTTTAGTTTTGAGATATGTGTTATGTATATCCCATTGGTTTAAAAGTTCCAAATATTCTTCAAAACAAATCAGTATTTGTATGTGTTGCTACTTCCTTGTTACACTTTGGATGGCAACAATTACCACCAGTATTCAAAGAGAGATGCCGTTACTTACAAGTTATGTACGTTGCAAAGAGTATACGTTGTGTAATATTACTGGTATATTAAATTAGCATACTGTACAATACAGCAGTTAGTGTCTCATAGTGTTTCCTGAATGATAAAGTGATAAAAAATGATCTAAAAAAAAGATTACAACAAAGAAAAGTCCTGCTGACATCATATCAAGGTAAATAGTCAAATTCAACATATACTTCCTGTTTACATTTGCCAGTGAACTGTTCCTGCGCCCTCTGCTGGGGGTCCTCGGCACTCAATGCTGTGTCTGCCTACAGCCAACCTGGGTTTGTAAACAGTCTGTGTGTGTTCACTCAAGCAGCCAGCAGAGGGAGCAACGTGGCAATGAAAACTAGAGTCAGATGATGGGAGGAGGAGGATCAAGCAAATAAACCCTTGGGTAACGTGTGCAAAAACAAGTGCTGTAATTCTGGTTACCATATCCAGGCCTAAAGAGTAGATCACACGTATTCTGGATTGAAACCTTGCACAAATACGTCTGTCAGGGCATCTGCCACACCGGTACAACCTCACCTGAAAACCTGCACAAGCAAGCTACAGTAACATAAGACAAAGGTATGCACTGTTTTTTCTGTTTCTAACAGGTACCTTAGTGGGTCAGAGTCAACGTATGGTACAATAAATGTGAACAAAACGGCTGCATAATAAAGTACTGTCCTTGTTTCGGTCACAAAAGATGATACAATAGAAACAAAAACAAAAGTCATTCCCTTGTCCTCTGTTAAAGGATGAGAAAAATGCAGATCATTTTCCATTAACAGCAAAACTCCCCTAAATATAAAATATTCTTCTGTCAAAATGTTAGAATGATCTGACATGACCGCATACAGCCCTGACTGGTAGGTACTATGGCCTATTATTAGCCTCTACTGGATACCGCCTTCTCAGCTGAGTCTGGTCTAGGAGGAAAAATATTCATTACGTAACAATAAAGGAGCTGTCTCCCGACCCACTTCCTGAATACCACAGCAGTAACTAGGCCTCAAACTGAGGCAGAGCGGAAGCTTCATCCATTTGTTTGCTGTCGCAGTGTTAAACAGCGACAGTTGTTTTCCTGCTTATCCCTTGCCTCCACACATTCACCACACGCCACCCCTCCTTCTCAGCTCCTCTTTGTGGGTCAGTGATGCAGCGGGAGTGACGCAGCAGTGGCAACAGCCTCCAGAAGGCAACTATACAGAGAAGGGACAAGGAACCTCTGCCAGAACCAAAGTCCAAAGGCAACATCCAGACAGCAGTGACGAGGGAAGGTGGTAGAGGCCTAATCTAGGCCAAAAGGGGAGCTGGAGCCGGGTAGTCGCTCTGCTTTCCTCATCCTAAACAAACAGCAGAGAGACATCCACAGCGACAGAGAAGACCTTCTGCACAGAAACATTTTGGTAGGCAACTCAAAGTATGAGTGCTTGTTAAGGCAGCAGCATAAGTGCACCCACGGATGAGTGTATTTGTATGCTAAGAGTGTGAATGTTTTGAGAATGAAGAGGAGGCCTATTCAGCCGTGTACTGCAGTCTGTGCCTCCCTGCGTCTCACAGGCCGCAGCTGAGCTTACCGAGCATCAGAGGCACAGAGGCCTGTAAACTTTGTCCTGTGGTTTTGAACACCTAAATGCGATATTGAGTGTGGGTGGCAAGGTGCTATATGAAATACTTCATATGCTCCGCGACAGAGTAATATCTAAGCGCTTTAATTAAGGGCAGTAAATTCTTCTATTGGCGGGTTTGATTTCAAATTTAGCTTAAGATCTACTTAAAGGACCAGTGTGTAGGAGTCAGTGGCATCTAGTGGTGAAGTTGCAGGTTGCAACCATTTGAATACAGCTCAGCCTTCCAAGCGTGTAGGAGAAACTCAAGAAAAACAGGAAAGGCACTATCTAAAGCCAGTGTTTGGTTTGTGTGTTTTGGGCTACTGTATAAAAATAGTGGTTCAACATGGCTGACTCCATGTAAGAGGACCATGGATGTATAAAGAGAACTGGATACAGCATTAGAGGCTGCAGCATTAAAGCTGCTTCCCGTTGTAAAGAAATTACCCGGATGATATACTGCACATGCCACAGTGGCCCATAGAGGATGCACACTAGAGACTTCCACTGGCCGAGCTGGCTTACTCACGGTTTAGCCTTCTGTTAACTAGAATGGGGATAAATAATTTAAATGTTATCAGACTGAATGGATCCAATTCCGTTAGTGAACCGAGTAATTTTGCAGGGTTGTAACGCTCGAGAAAATGTATCCACCGTTTTACAGCAGCTTCTTTCATAATGTAACCTTATAGGGGAAAACATTTTTTGGGCCAGTGCACATCACGTGACCGACGCCTTTGCTGTAATTACACGGTTCAGCCACTATGTCAAAAAGCCCAGTGCTCTTTCTGGCGGCTTGAAGGGGACCCTCTCCCTCAGTAGATAATTATAATATAATTATACACTAATAAAAAAAAACACCTTTAAAATCTGGATTATAAAAAGAAGAGTTTCCCAATTCTTAAAGTAAATAAAATGATTTACAACGCTGTAAACTGCGAAGCAAGTTTGCCCGATTATGGAAAATATTAAGGCTCGCCTAGGCAAATTAAAAATGGTACAATGGTTAAAAGGCTGTGCTATGGTAGAATGTTTTTGAGTTAAAAAATATTAAAAAACATTTATTTGACTGCTTTTCCACAGATGCGTTTCAACCATTATCATGGTTATCATACTGCGCCTGCATGACTCTGATATGATTATCATTGTGGTAAGGCCTGGCTTAAATACAGCAAATTCAAGCCATTTATTTTAAATAAAACAGTAAGCCAAAACACAGTCATGCACACCACCTTTATTTACCGGTTAACTTTAATTAGCCACCATGTGAAATATTTGCCAACACGTCCGCGACATGATATCTTACTTAGCTAGCTCCAAGCCTCGCGTAAACCAACTCTGACACACTGTTGTGTGTGGTCCTGTGTCCACGTGATCAATTCTCCTCGTTCCCTCCTAAAACAGCACTGAGTTGCAGCACAGCGCCACTGTTTAAGAGCGGCAAGAAGAAACTGTAACCAGAGGCTAACAAGCCTAACCATAGAAATAATTTAATAAACACATGGTACACGGGATCGTGCCCTGGACTCCACGTACTCGCTATACCCCGAATGCCACATTTTCCGCAGTATCGGAATTGGAACAACTCTAGTTGAAAGAAACCCCCAAATATACTGCAGTCAACAAAAGAACTCCTCCTTCTATCTTTAAATATTATGGCCACAAGAAGTTAGGGTCTCATTTTATTGGACTTCCTCTAATGTGTGTCTTTGCTGTGTATTTGAAGAATAGAGTAGTTTTGACTGACGAGTCTCTGTAAATCCCAGTCAGCTGTGGTGGTTGCTGCATGCTCATCCCACTTTAACTTCAGCCAGCCCCCCCAGTCTTCCAAATTTAGATTTTCTGGCTCCAATTACAGAGGGTATGCACTGAAGCCACTTTTGTCTTATCACTTGGATTGTCATTGTTTGTCTGGTTTTTGGTTGGCACACCAACATGGCTCAGTGTGGCACAAGTTTTCAGGTTTAACTACCTGATACACTGGCTGCTCCCTCGGCTGATGTAGGGGTCTTCAAGAGAGCAGGTCTTGCTGTCAGCATCAAAAATAGATGTGGTTAATTATGTATTCATGAAACCAACATAATGTGATATATCGAACACAGAAAATGAAACAGATGTCAGCCAGTATGAGGAGAAGACCCACACAGTCATATGACTATACTGAGTTGTGTAAATAAAAGAGCTGCTTCCGTCCTCAGAGGCTAGCGAGAGTCTCACAGTGCCATGTTGGGTTCAGCTTCCTCCCCTCCCCCTCGTCTGCAGTGCTGACGCATCTGCTGCTTTTGCATCAATCAGCAGCCTCTATATAGGTATACCGAGAGTCCCCGCTGATAGCAGGGCTCTCTTTTCCCCCCATAGCCTTGCATTCAGTTGCACGCTCACTGCAATTGTGAGAAAAAGCATCGATGAACATGTGTCCTGCGACTGCTGTGATGCAAAATAGGACAGCAGTCACTGCCATCTTCTCTCTGGTTCTGCATTACCTAACCACAGAGACTGCGTAAGCACCGACGAAGGGCTTTGGTGTTATATATTGCTGCACAGACAGAGACTGTGTGCGCAAGCATGAAAACAGATGGTGTAGCCTTATGCATTCAAAGTGTATGTTGTTTCTATGACAGATAATTCTGTTTCATGCATAAGACATTTTCCCTTTTGGTCAACACTGGTGCATCAGGATGTAGCTGGTGTGGTGCTGAGGAGATTTAATACGCCATTTGTTGCACCCCTCACTCTACGCTGCTACCAGCAATGCAGCTGAGCATTTTCTCTGGCTGTAGCATCGAGTACAGAGCTGGTGTGTGATGTAGCACCCAGCATCTCTCCGCTCTCTCTACAGCCCTCTGCCATGCTTAATAAAAGTTGTCGTTTCCTGCTCAGTGGCTCCAGAACGAACGCTTCAGTTGCCCAGTTAGCACAAAGGCAGACCCGTACTCCGGTTTAGCTACAAGCTGTATAACTGTGAGGAACTGTGATTATATAGCTGTACTAGGACAGAAGAGGGACAGCCAGAGGAGGGCAGGGCAGATCTAGCCCAGGACCTGGGCTGCATGGATAGAGGCGAAGGATGCTGAAGCTGGAGTCATCTGCACACAGAGAGGGAGGGAGAGGAAGAAAGACGTCAGAAAAGCTCTGCTTCTGACAACACCACTGTTCAGCGACCATCATAGAAAAAAAAAACTACTTTCGCCTTGCTCTCACGAAACTGTTTTTCATGTATAGTTGGGTATATTGAGGGCTGTAGAAAAGGGATACTGCATGACACTGTTTCCTGTTCGCCCTGCATCATTTTCTCTGAATTACTAAGGTACGTTTTGCATGGTTTCCCTCAAATTTATAACCTGTTTATTGCGGAAGTATGCTTTGCAGAGGTGCGTGAAGTGGCTTTTGCTTTGACATTTCGCTCTTTGTTTGACAAGACTGTATGCTACAGTGTAAATTCTTGGTTTGTGGTTTGGTATGTGGGGATTTTTACTTTACAGGTTGAGACGTAAAAAATAATTTCACATGAGCTTTGAAGGTAAACTTAGGTTGGGTGTGGCAAAATCATAAGCACTGATGACAAATTCAAAATTTCCGCTCAGCATGTGGTGGCAATAAACCACAACAATTAATATAATTTGTGAAAAATGAGTGTGGTGAAGTGAAATAGCAACAGAAAACATTAAACTGTTTCAGAACAAACTGAGAAATTAGTATAAAAGCAGTGCCACATCACTTGCTGTTATCAGATGAGAAAGTCCTTTGGGTAGCATTTCTGCTGCAGACAAAGACACACAGACCAGTACACATAGACAAAGTATATTCAAGCAGAGACAAAGGAAAACCTTGATTGCTCTGTAGACTGCTGTGTGTTGCAGGTTCTCAGAGAGGGCAGGATGTTTCTGGGAGATAGGGGACCGAATACCCGGACAGCTAATACAGTCACTTGCCATCCAGCTGAATCCCAATAAGTGCTGCGCCATAGCATGTTGCCATGACAACGGAGGCCTGTCTGAGATAGAAGGCAGGTGGCTGGTTGTGTTTTCAGGAGTCTGAGAGGCTTTAAAGAACGGCGGCCATATTGTATTTGTTGCACGAACAGAAAATCGGATATGAGTTTATCAAACCTCTTTGGAGTGAACAAAAAGTCCTGTAAATGTATTACCTTTAAGGTGAAAAAATGTCATTAAATTTCCAATTGGTGCGTAATGCAGAGGACAAAAATAAGCAACGCATAAAACAAAATTAGATATCTAATTGTTAATTTAATATAATTTGTTACACTATTGTAACCATTGTTACATTATAATTTGCACAGACTAAATCTCACAGGGATCACGAGAAATTAAAACTCTTCTTCTGTTTTCACACTAAGTAAGCACAGAGAACAAAGAACAAGTTTACAACTGAGAGACACTAAATATAGCCACGTTGCCTCAAGCAGATAGCTAAAGAAAACTCACTCATGCTATACTGCACAGTCACTGTATGACTTTTACTAAATATGTAAATGAGGATAAAAATAACAATAATGTTAAGTTCTAACTTCTCTCTGAGCTTAAGTTGGATATTTAAATAATGTTGATGCAGGTGTGATGATTCATCACTGACAGGAACAAGCTGAGTGTGTCTTAGCAGGTACAGTCAGCATGCTATGTGAGAAATGCTTAGTGAGTCAGTATAGACTCAAACCACACTGACTCTGATATCAGTAGGCCACAATTAGGACATCATGCTGAGTGATACATCCTTCATCCTTTCAAAGTGAGAATGAATGAACTTCAACTTCCTCTAAGAGTTGCAGATTGAAGATCATTAATAGTTTATAGCCTGTGTGTAACAACTGGAAAACTAAGATGTGTATATAAGATCAATTATTATAGAATATTATTAGCAAGTCAGCTACTTAGAATAGGTCAAAGATTGTTACCGTTTTTACTTTTCATAGCAGGGATTGGGATTGTTGTACTTCTGTACATCAATGACCTTTCCTGGTAACCATTTTGCTCATGATGTATTAATTAACTGTACCCTGTTGGTAGAATTGACAAAATGTATGTGAGACAAGTGAAAAGATGCCTCTTTAATGCCAACTGACAGAAAACTGAAGAAGGGAGCATATGAGTCATCAGTGCGTAGCTGTCTGCATGTCACTTTCACATTAACCTATGCCTTAGGAATAATAAGACTGTCAGGACAACTGAACCAGACCTAGTGCTGAACTGTATCACACTGAATGGATTACCTCTAAAATTGAATTATAATGTAAGTAATAATAACAAAAAATAATCCATGACAGCACATTTTACCAGTTGCATACTGCGGTTTTCTCATGACTGTTTTGGGATTAGTTAATACCTTACTTAGGTTGTTCATGACAAGAATATTCCATGTATAAAAAAACAAGTTAATCCGCAGAGAAAACCAGCAATGGAACAGAAAGGAAATTATTGGACAGACAAAGAGTTGTTGCATATAGGAAGTAATTAAGAACGTCATACATTAGGTCACTATATCCTATACTTTTTGAATCAGAGGCAAAATTTTTTACACATATTAAGTATGGTCTAATTACAAAAAATAATTCTCACAGTATTTAAATTGCATGATACTCTCACCTGGGTGTTTTCTGATGCAACCCTTGACAGTAGTATCAATATGCCTTTCCCGCATGTTCTGATAGCTAGGATTTGAAACATTACCTTTTCCCATTACTCAAAACAACCATTGCCCCACATTTTAGCAGCCTTTACAAGGAATTAAAGACCTCCTCTACACAAGAGAAAAAAGAAAGATAAATGGGGGAAGGGAGAGACTTATGCTAGTAGTGTCTATACTCAGTATGTGACCCATTCATTAAGGATTAAACTTTATGCATAACTCTATATTTTTAATCATGGATGATGGATGAAACAGGATGGAGATTATGATAATTTCACTCACCAGAACTGTTGTTCAGACTGTTGGCACTGGAGCTCATCTGTCAGGACATTACTGCCATCTAGTGTTAAAACACTAGAAGAGCAAAAACATTTTCAAAAACAAAATGTACACACATCTTGTGGATCTTTTTAACAAAATCAAAACCATCAGATCCACCATTCTGTAATAATCTGATGTTATCATTTCTTCTCTTCTTTCTTTTAGATGACTGTGGTGTCCCCATGCACTCAGAACCTGATGGATAGTGCTCACCCTCACACTGTGCTTAACAAACTCAATGAGCAGCGTGTACAAGGCCTCTTCTGTGATGTTACCATTGTGGTGGAGGATGTTAAGTTTCGGGCCCACAAGAACATCCTGGCAGCCTGTAGCGGGTACTTCAAGAACGCTCTGACAACTCCTGAGACAGTGAGCTCTAGCCCAGTGCTGGAGCTGATGGACCTGAAGTCTGAGGTGTTTGCCAGTATCCTCAACTACATCTACTGCTCAAAAGTGACATTACCCAGTACAGAGGACACAGGGGGGCTAGTGGCAGCTGGAAAAAGGCTTGGAATTCCTTTTTTAGAGAAGCTTGCAGAACAAGAGAGGCAGGACGAATGTGTTAAATCCACAGATTCCAGCACAGTCCCATTGTCTAAAAAAACAAAGAAGGAAGCTCCCAGGCCTGAGGAGATTGACAGTGCCAAAGGCCCACGCATCACCAATGCCTTTTCTATCACTGAAGTGTGTCATGGGAACAATCTTTTCACCCCTCTGGTTCAAACTGATGGGGAGAGGCAGTCACCAGATGTGGGACAGCTCCCATCAAGTTGCCCCACAACCTCCTGCCTCAATGGGAACAATGAGACAACCCAAGCCCTCTCAGAGCACTCGTATGCAGTAAGCAAATCTACTGAAGGCAAAGATAACAGTCAATGGGACAACAAGAAGGTCTGTAAGCCAGCAATATCACAGCCAAAGCAACTCATTTACAGGAATGCAGGGCCACTTAAAAAGCGCCACAGGCTCCGAGGCCCTTTGGGTAGAAGTATACTTCCAACACCAGCTGAACCACAAACAGATAAACCAAATGCAATAACCCCCACATTAGCTGATGCTGTTTCTGCAGCACCTGTTGCAGTCATGACACCACCTCCACTTTTTTCAGAGGCAGAAACAGAAAAAAGTATAGACCCAGTGCTGCCCATAGCTGCTGACAGCGTTCAAATGGAATTAGGTCCACCAACACTTTCCCCTCACACAGAGGACAGCATTTCAATCTACGGGTGCGAGCACTGTCCAGAGATATTCACAAATAAAGCTCTTCTCACCATTCACTCAGAAGTACATAAAAAGCGTTTTGTCAGTCATTTGTTTTGCAAGTTTTGTCACCGAAAGTTTATCCACCTCAAACGGCTGCGCAACCATGAGCAGGTCTGTCCCAAAGCTGTAAGAGCCCCCCCTGAACTAGATACTACTGACATATCAACCAAAGGGGTGGACCTCCATTCAGATGGCATGCCAATCATGGAGAACACCATGACACAGCTTCCCCCTGCTGACCTCTCCACCCCTTGCACCCCAGAGCCCCTTCAAGTGGACGAATCAGAGCCTCCACAGGAAGAGAGGGTAGTGCGGCCGGGGAGCAGTCAGAGGAGATACAACTGCAGTGTGTGTAAACGGGTTTATGTCACCCTATCCAGTCTGAAGCGGCATGAAAATGTACATTCCTGGCAAAGAGCCTATCCCTGTCATTATTGTAATAAAGTGTTTGCCTTGGCAGAGTACCGTACTAAGCATGAAATCTGGCACACAGGTGAACGCCGCTATCAGTGCATTTTCTGCCTGGAGACATTCATGACATATTACATCTTAAAGAACCATCAGAAGTCTTTTCACGGCATTGATCCCAATCTAGCTGTTAAGAAAAAATCTGCCAACGGTGGACTGAAAGCCAGTGTTTATCCAATCAAACTCTACAGGCTTCTGCCTATGAAGTTTAGAAAGAGACAATACAAGACGTACAGTCAGACATATTCCGAGAGTGTTGAAAGAGGTGAGCAAGCTCCACTAGACAGCAACTCTCTTATCCCTCCATTGGAAGAAAATGGTCTGATCAGCCACACTGATTCATTCCCTCGGACATTCATGGCAACAACAAAGATGGTGGCCCCTGTCATGCCTCGCATCAACTTTGACAAGCCATGTGACCAAGATATTGACCAAAGAATGAACAGTGAATTGGAAATTCAGAGAGGCGCAGGACAAGAGGGTGAGAATAGAGATTCACCTTTCATTAACTACAACAGTACCTTCTCTTTGCAACCTGATAATCCTCTGATACTAAGTAACTCAGAGCACATCAGTCATGTGCCATTCTTAAACTCTTTGAACACTGTTAAAAAGTTAGGTGAGCTATCAGCTTCTGCAAAAAGAGTTGAGGATATGACCAAGGAGATACTTCAGTCGAGCAACGAGAATCTGGTTCGCGATAAAATGGTGGGGGCGAAGACAGAAACATATATTGCCAAACCTGCATGCCCGGGTCCATCCGCGGATGGTGCTGCCATGCCGCTCTGTCAGATAACAGTGAAAATAGGCAATGAAGCCATCATCCGCCGCCAAATCAAAGGATCTAAGCTCTTCCCCAGAAAGAAAAGGAGAATCAGAGAACTGAGTGAGACGGAGAGCCCGAGTCAGTGCCCTCCAAGGGAAAACTCAGAGAGCCCCAGACTCCGCCTCAGACCAGAAGTCACTGCTGCCACAGAGCCAGAGACATATGATGATCCCAATGACTGTGACACAGCTGACATGCTTTGGCGTCCCTACTATTCTTACAAAGCTAAAAAGAAAAGGAAGAAGCTGCGATTTAAGCACAGAAAAGCTCTGCTTCACCATTATCCTGAAACGTCAGCAGAGAGAACTGCAGCCAGTGACTCCCACCTTGATAAAAGCAGTTGGCTGATAGAAGAGAGCATCTCAGGTGGTAGTGGAGAGCTGAAACGTAGCCTTAGCAGGAACTCCAGCCCGAGGGCAACCTACAACTGTGACATCTGTGACAGCTCTTTTATCACTGAGACGGGTCTGAAAGCTCATGTTATTGGTTCCCACCCATGTTTCTGCCGGACCTGTGGTAAACAAGGTCCCCCCGGTGAGGTACCTGCCGGTGGTGACTACATTTGCAACAGCTGTATGGAAAATGGCACCTGCTTTGATAATACACCCAGGAGCCCCAACCTGGAGAAGAAGTATCGCTGCTCCTTCTGTCCCCAGCGTTTTCTCTACCTTGCCACCAAGAGAAGCCACGAGAAAAAACACCAGGAGACAAATGAGGAGGGGTATAATTATGACAACTTCACACCATGTTCTAAATACTCAGCACGCCTGATTGAAGACCATAAACAAGACACCATCAAAACAGAAGACAATGACAATCAAGGGGGGCCTGGCATAAAAAATGAAAGGCTGGAAGGAGGATCTTTTTCCACTGATAAAGTTAAGCCTAAAATTGAGGACACAACTGACTTCATGTCTTTGACAACCTACCAGGACATGTCGTTTTCCAGCATTAAAACTCCATTATCGCCCTGCATTGACCCGTTGCTTTCTCTCACACCGACGAAGGTGAAACATAAAATGGCGAAAAAAAGGAACAATGCACAGCATACTATGCATCTCATCCCAAAAAAACAAGCCCGTGACAGAGACAGTGACAAAAACAAGGATATTTTGATGGGGCAAAAAACAACCAGTCATAATGACCGTGAGAAGTCCTGTAAACTGTTTAGGAAAAATGACTCTGAAACTAAAGGAACCCACATTTCTATACACAAGCCAGATAAATGGGTGTGCAAAGAGGAGCCATTTTTTTAAAGATCTCTGAGAACTGACCAACAAGAGAAAGTGAATGAAGCCTCTGCTCTGGCAAGGAATTGTAAAAGTTGTAATGTTGTTTTTGCAGCTGAACTCAATAAAATGTTTTTGAATGGACAACACTGAACATCTAAGGATCTAATGTCAGTGTAGGTTGTTTCTTCCCTCCTAAACTCAACAACTGAGTGATTTTTCACCTTTGTAGAGGATATTTTTTGGATAATATGAGACCTTCTGACACAGACTGTACTTTGCTCATCGTCTATGCATATATGGCAGACTAAGTGACATGACTGTAACCTCAGCCTAATTCATGAATGTTGGTAACGTTTCTTCAAACGATGTGCAATTTCAGAACAGGGGTTAGGATGTGTTGGACAACTGAAAAGCTGCCTAGTGTGGTTGCATCTTCACATTTTAAAATATGTCTGGGGAAAACTATACGAATTTTACAACTGTCACATTTCTGAATCTCCTGTTCAATTAACTGACCATGGTGAGTTGCACTTTATTGTTAGACTATGCTAATCCGTTGGTTTCATACTTTGATATTTAAATTTTAATTCTAAGCACCAATGATATAATTCTAATTTATAATTAACATGTGGCACCATTGAGATTAAAGTTACTACTTTTGTGTGTTTATGTATAAAACATGTAAAACTATTTAAATAAATGTGGCATTCTACACAGCTACATCCTGTTCTTCTTTAGACTCGTTAGAGATACGGTAAATGCATTGATCAGTGACCACACTGACCAACGTATCAGACTGACGGAGCACACTTACTGATTCTCTGATACTGATGGTAAGGCAATAGTTACAGAAACCCTGAATGACATGCAATTAAAACGTGGAGATTTTTTTAAGAGGGACATTTTAAATAGCAAGATTTAAACACTAATATTGGTACAAATCCTGTTCCACAGCAACAATTTCCTAAATATAAAGCCACATGGTGGTTATCTACTCCTTCTGGGACCTGCAGCCCATCTGAGAAGTTTATTCCTTCGTTCTTCCACACAAACTGCATCTGTATTTAGAGTTGGGCCTCAAGACACAATTTCCAGATGTGTTTAAATTCCTTGCTCCTTTCTAAGACTGTTCTTGTGATGTAGCAGATGTGTCATACATTTTAGGTATAAGGTAATGCTTAACACAGTGATTATGCCATAGAGGCGACATTTTCCCCCAAATCCCAATGCAATCTGTCATTTAATAGAGGATCATTACCCTTTAAAAACATTGATAGCAACAATTCATGGGTTATCATTTAAGCTATTCCAGATGTGAGCAGCATTTTAATTAGATTTTTCATCATTTTTCATTATAATCTGTAAGCGTAGCTGATGGCAGTAAGTAAGTAGACTAGTTGCACTAATGTAAAGTAAAATCAGCATATGGTAGTAGTATCATAGAGGAACATATGCTTGCAAATAACTTCAATGCTCACTATATCATACAATAGCCACTATTGTATTTTAATAAAATATGAGATATAAATACAACATAGACTTGATATGATGATCATTAGTTCTTCAATTTCATTAGTTCTTTCAAACTTCAATATTTGCCTTATATGGCCAAAGGCATTATATTTTTCATGTTAATATCTTAATGTCAGACATTTTTGACAGTAAACAGCAGATCATTTTATGACATACTCTGCAGTTTAAAGGTGGCCATATACATCTGAGTTAATGTTAAGTCCATGACAAATCAATAACAAGGTAAAGCATCTAGATAACATGTTACCAGTATATAAGTGTTGTGAACTAGTGTGTGCAACGTGTTAAAGGGGAACTTGGCA